AACGGTAGGGAAGGGGACAGGAGTTGAGAAGAGATGCGAACATTTGTTTTATTAATAATAATTATTGATTTTGATGGGAATGCAGAGAACGGATCCGAAATATATTTATCAATTATCTCCGCCCTCTTGTTGTTCGTCTCCGTCTCCCTGTGTGTCAGACGTCCAGAGCTGGAAAGGTATGCAAACAAAGACATGTAATGAGTGGTTGGATGTGTTGGTGACAATGGCTTACCGTAAGGTTGTCTCTGAGCAGCTGCATTATGAGCGTACTATCTTTATAGGAATCTTCGTTAAGAGTGTCCAATTCCGCGATCGCGTCGTCAAACGCCTGTCCATTCAAATCAATCACACATTAATACTATTCAATCAATACATTAATCGCCACAACAAACGTGTATAAAGAAAAACGCTCTCATAATAAGGTATCGCCAAATTCACAGGCATTCAAATGGCAAAAAGCATTTTCATTAATAAGCCGTTAGTAGTGTGTGTGTGGGGTAAGGGTCTGGCCATTACCTGTTTGGCCAGATGACAGGCCCGATCGGCGGCGTTAACGATCTCGTAGTAAAACACCGAGAAGTTGAGCGCCAGACCCAAACGGATCGGGTGTGTGGGCTGTAGTTTGCTTTTGCTTATGTCGAACGCCTCCTGATATGACTTCTGAGAGTCATCGATAACACCTTATTATGACATCGTTTGTCGCAAAACACACGCGAGTTGTGGCACAGAGAGAGGCAGTGATGGCAATGGGAACGGAAGGGGGAGAGAGTGGGCACAGAGGGAGCGGAAGAAAAAGAAAAAAGCGATGAGTAATGATTGTCCTGAGATGTGTACCTGTTTCGCGAGCTGACACGCCTTGTCGGGAGAGTTGAGGATCTCGTAGTAAAATACAGAGAAGTTGAGCGCCAGACCCAACCGGATCGGGTGCGTCGGCTGCATCTTGCTTTTGCTTATGTCAAACGCCTCCTGATAGGCCTTTTGGGACTCATCCACAACACCTTTGGATCAGTCACACAGACATACCGTTATCAACAAGTCATACACAATAGCACTACTATTCACACGCATTTCGGCTCTCATTGTTGGTCATAACATCTCAACGACAAACTCATCTATCAGTCTATCAATTGTCAACTAAATGTCAATTTCAATCATCTAATCCTAAATACTCTTACAATGAAATGCATTTTTAAAATGCATACAAATTGCTAAATATTTGTTGTCTGACATGTAAAACAGTGCAACACTTCTGACAATAAATTTTGTAATAAAATGCAAACAACAACTCATCATAAATGCCGTTAATTATAGAAACAAATCAACCGTTAAATGCATTGAATATAACGCTTTGAGTGCCATAAAGTAGTGACACATTTATAATATATTCTCTGAATATAATTGCATATTATGTTAAAAATAGAAAAGAAAATCCTTTTTCTATTTTTAATTCATAGCTTTTGAGATAATTAGTGAAAAAATCAAACAAATGTTTGCCACTGTTTGACAGCACTTACTGTTCCTTTGGTCACCAGTGGCCACTTCGGCCAGATATCGGTAGTAATCGCCTTTCATTTTAAGGTAAAACACTTTACTTTCGGCATTACTGGCCTTTGGGATCAAAAACTTGTCGAGAAGTCCCTAAACGGATATACAAACAGACATACATTAGAAACACGTATATATGAGTCATACTATTGCGAGAAAAATCAATAAATTTACAGCAAATGCTTTAAAAGAGCACTCATTTCCTTAAACAGACATTTAAAGTGCGAAGAAATTAAAGACCAATTCATAAATAAAGACATAAAACATGAGATGGAGAGCGAAATGAGTGGAAAATGTGTAAAATTAAATCATTAATAGAAAAAATGTGAGAAACTGAGAGCACTGGGAGTTTTGAGGGACTCTAAAATTCACATGACTTGAGGCCACACCCACTCATACATTATGTCAAGTGTGAGGCATCTCTGATGTAATGGTTAGCGCATTGACATCAAAGACAACAAGCGATTCACTAATGTCTTCGAGAAATACTGGGCCACAGATATGGACACAACGTCTTCATTACAATTACAAAACACTAATTACATGTCAATAATAGTATTGTAAACACGAGGTATAGAGAGAGACAGAGAGTGATAGGAATGTATGAAATGAAGTAACAAATAAATTGCATTCAATGAATGTAATCGTTTTGGTAATGATAGGTATGAGTGAAGAGTACATACGAGCACATCGTAACAGATTTCCCGCAACTCTTTCTCCACTTTCTCGCGGTATTCTCTGGCCATCTGTTGTTTCCGTTCGGATCCTTCGGTCTTCTGTTCGATGGATGAGATGACCCGCCAGGAGGACCGTCGGGCGCCCACAACGTTCTTGTAGGCCACGGACAGTAGGTTTCGCTCCTCATTGGACAGCTCGACGCCGGTCTCAGTGACCTGTTTCATGGCGGCGGCCATATCGTCGTACCTCTCGGCCTGTTCCGCCAGTTTAGCCCTTTGAACCAATTCGTCCTTATTATCCATTACTTATGGAGATTTGCGTGAGAAGTGACTTATTATACAACAGTCTATTGATTTCAGTATATAAACAGTTCCCGACAGTGGAAGTGACCGCAGATGCAAATGTGATCGCGATTTCAATGTGACGTCAAATTACAAGATTTTCTCTCAGATATGAATTTATGTGATTATCTGTGGATATAATGGGAGACAGAAAAAGACAATCAATCAATCAATTGGTCATTAAATTAATCAAATCAATCGACACATGTATTGAGACATTCACTCCTTCAGACACACCACTCATAACATAGCAAAACGTGAATAGAGTTAATACTAGCTATGAATCAAAAACAATTGCCATTTCACACAAAACCAGTCAATTGTCAACAAATAATACCAATATTTACCACACAATCGGACCAACAAATCAATGGTAATTAAAAACAAGCGATTTTGTGGGCAAATCAGTGCTAAAAACAAGTGATAAAATGCACACAAAATGGCTGACAATCCATAGGTATAGAGAGAGAAGAGAGAGAGGGGGAGAGTATAGGGAGAGCGCAGAGAGAGGGAGAGTTATCGTGGAGGCAAAGGCGTCGACACTACCCGACAGTACACTTCATACACACTTCGAGACACAATCGAGAGGTGAGTCTCCGGCAGCCATTGTGTGTTAGTGACGATATCACTCTCTGTATTGTGAATGGCTGTTACTCTACTACGGCAGCATATCTCTGACTGCTCACTACTGGCGTTTGTGACTAAGTTATCACTCTCTCTCTATGAGAGAGAGGTATTGAATGATTTGCCGGTTTATACTGTATTATAGCATTGAGTGCTGTATTAAACGTTGTGCTAATGCTATAGCAATGCTGTGCCACTAGTCATGCATTCTCTATACGCTTAAAGCCTATACACTGTGTGTGTTATGCATAACAGCCATAACTCACTCCCATTGGCTCTCAGCTCCGTATATACACAGCGCTCACCAAATACTCCATTACTATATAGTCATAGCGTTTGATAACAATTTGTTTCACACAATGTTTCCCCCATTTATTATAGCCATTAAACAGAGCCGCCGATCATTACAGCTCCGTATATACACAGCGCTCACCAAATACTCCATTACTATATAGTCATAGCGTTTGATAACAATTTGTTTCACACAATGTTTCCCCCATTTATTATAGCCATTAAACAGAGCCGCCGATCATTACCTAACCCTTGTGTCCACTCGTGGTCTCCCGTTCTATGTCTTCACATTTGCAATAATGTTGTCTTAAATCTGTATTTATTTCATTTTGCAAACAAATTATATTTTTTATTTATTTATTAAGTTCTAGAACTTTAAGGAATTTACTAAAGTTATGGCAATATTTTTTAAAACTTAAGTCTTACTTATATAACAGAATTTGGTGTATTGAATGAATCATACAATTCTTTTTACAGGGTGTCACAACTATAACATATAATAATATAATTAAATAGTTTTAGTTTAAATCATTTTAACAATAATTATTTTTATATTAATTATTTTATAAGAATTATGCATTCATTACATTGTAATAATAAAAGTTTTACAAGTAAATATTTTACAATTGACATAACTTTAAATATAATAACGCAAGTTTTAAAATAAAATGTCAAATTCAATTAAGAATTAAACGACAAATTAAATGACCAATAAATTAAGTATAAAATCAATTTTACAAACATTGATTAAAATTCAGTTTTATCATTATACATGTGTTAACTTATTTTGAACTTCCCAAAACCACGGCAGCCCATCGTTATGCTTAAGCCCTTTATATTAAAAACTTGAATTCTTAGACTATACACTTAAACTATAGGAAGTCATAAGTAATGACGAAAGGGCTGACAAAAAAATAAGTGATTTTAAAGGGAGTTAAGAGATCTATATTATAGATTACATATTCTATAACATAATATAAATTGAATTGAAACTTTTCTAAACGTAGAGAATGAGTTGGTACTTAATATAACGTCTTTGAATACGGCTAATACAGTAACTATTTGCAATATTATCTGTTAATTTGTTAATAATGCCAAACATAAAAACTTTAGAAATGAGCACTATTCTCTCTCTCTCTCTCTCTCTATACCTATGGATTGTCAGCCATTTTGTGTGCATTTTATCACTTGTTTTTAGCACTGATTTGCCCACAAAATCGCTTGTTTTTAGCATCTCTTCTCAACTCCTGTCCCCTTCCCTACCGTTTCGATGATATCCTTAACTTTTGCCTCAAAATTCAGTGATCGGTTGCACTCAACGCCACTTATGATAACAATTTGTAGTCTTTATATAAAAAATATTTAACAATAATAGATATTTAAGTCTCCAAACATTTGATGTCCAAAATATTTAACGAAACAAATGATTGCTTTGCATTAGACTTAATGTCGGCCTTTATTTGTCAGTGTTTTATAACTTATCTATTATTAAAACAAATCGCTATTAATTGTAATGTTTTTCCAGGAATTGATTTGAAATTACGAAAAGTTTTTATTAATTCATAATTTGTTTTCTCTTTTTTTTTGTAAAACAATCTCTAAATCATAGAAAACTTAAGTTTTTTGTTTAAAGTTATGGTCATTTAATAGACGTTTTATTATCTATAAATTAAAAATTGTTTTAAGATTTGAATTTTTGGACAATAATATAATTGGAAAATACAGATAATTGTGACGATAAAAGAAAGTGTGAATTAATGCCCAAAAAATTATTTCTTACATATTTTTCACTTAAATTTAGTTATCATTTTGCAATCAAAACCAATCATTTTTATTAAATAAATCGATCGATCAGTGAATTTGATTTAAACAAAAATTTTCAAATATTTTATTTGTGCGAAAACTTAAGTTATTTACTAATCCATTGGTTAAATGAGACAAAAAAGAAAATACTTATTAATATTTAACTCATTGTTTGGTTTTTAAACGTTATGTTGTTTTTAATTTTACAATCATTTCTATTTCAATCGATTCACACATAAAGTACCACTCAATCAGTGGCTTATAATTTGAAGCAAAAGTTTTTAAAACTTAAAACCAAAGGGCGGACCGACTGATACCCCCTTCAGTCCCCCTTCACTCTTATATAATCATCAAATCTATTGATATATATATCGAAAGACAATTCCCAATAAAATCCCAAACATTTTTTGGTACGAAAAAAACCAAAGGGCGGACCGACTGATACCCCCTTCAGTCCCCCTTCACTCTTATATAATCATCAAATCTATTGATATATATATCGAAAGACAATTCCCAATAAAATCCCAAACATTTTTTGGTACGAAATTAGTGTAAAACTTAATGTCAGACAAAAAACACTTAATATTTTTATTTGCTCTTAAAAAATATCAGTTGTTTTATTGATTAATAATTAATTATAAAAAATACAATTCATTGAAATTTTATGATTTCTTGACCGCAATATTTCATACATTCATTAAATGTCTGTTTTCTTCTCTGAAAAAAATCAATTGAAATAAAATCCTTTTAAAAGTGGAAAATAATTTCCAAAATCTAAGATTTTTATCTAATTATAAATGAAATTAATAGTTTTGATTTAAATGTAAATTTATTTGATTTTGTTTTTTGAAAACAAAGTATTGCTTATACTGTGAGTGACAAACAAAATACAGTTTAATATTATATATTTGAATACAATTTGAATTATTATAACTTATATCTAACTTAAAGTGCATTTCTTTTTACAATATAATTCATATAACGATTAATTGTATTTTGAATTTTAAAGATTACTATAAAGATAATGAGAAATGAGTTTATGTTTTATTGGCCAGAATTAGACAATTTCTTCTTGTTTTTTGTTCCGACATATTCTCACAGTTTTAACAATTGTTTGATTAGTTTTTATGATTTATGATTGCTATACGAATGTTAATTATGTACTTATTTATAATGAATAATTGAATGAATGTTATAATGAATATTCATTTTTCAAATGTGTTCACTATATCTATAAGTAATCAAAAAATATGTTATTATTAATACTATTTAATAATTTTTATTATTTATTATAAATTTATTAAATTCCCGTAAAAATGAACAAACAATCCATTTATATACTAATGATATATAAGAGTGTATTGATATTTAAGATCAAATGAAAGACTAAATTAAAAAATATTAAAATTTGAAACACAAATGAGATTCAATTCCAACTATAAAAATATATATAATTATAACTTATGTGTAATTTTTAAAAACAAGTCTCAAATCATTGAATTGTATTTTTTTCAATTATTATTTATTATAAAATATTTAAATATGATTTCCTACTGAATATTACAATTGATTTAATATTAATTTCGCAGTGATTTTTGTATTGAATCAAACGATACAATTTTATTGATTAAAAATCTCAGTTCTAATAGTTTTTTGCTCATATTTTATCATTACTTTAATGTTGTGCTAAACTTAACGTTATTATTAGCAGTGATTCCTGCGTTCAGTTCATTGAATTATTTGAATATGATTTTAATTATCAAAAATATGTTGTGTTATATAAAATGCATTTATGACTTGAGGTAACGAATGAATGCATTCATTGTAAACATGCCATCATTTCGATGACAACACTCTATACTTCAATTACTATAGGATTTGCTATTATTTTATTCTTAATTAAAGCTCTGTTTGTTTTATTCAGTCGTTTATTATCTGCGCTTAAAGTCATCCAAAATCTAAATAAAATTATCATTTGATTTGCAATATTTCTAAACACATAATTAATATTTGATATTAAAAAAGACAATTTAATCCATAAATAGAAACAGTTATTTGCAAACACTATAAATAGATTAGCTTTTAATAAAAGCCATGTTTTTGATTGAAAATGAGAAATTGATTGAAATCACATGATTACAAATCTAGATCACTTCATTTAAAGTTGTTTGGTATATAAAATGAGATATAATGTCAATACAGGCTAATTGTTGTCAATACGGGCTAATTGTTGTGACACACGCTCTCGATATATGATGTATTGGTTTTAAATTTAAAAATTTGTTATAATTTGGTGACAAAAATGGAGCCGAAATCTGATGACAGAACTTCGCCGACGATAACCATTATAATAATATTCGGATTCATAGTATTCGTACTGTTGATGGCCGGCGTCTGTTACGGCTGTCTATGGCTTATGAGGCGAAAGACTATAAGGAGTGAATCGGAAAGTCATAAAAAGAATACTAGTTTTCACGGCACCGGAAGAGCCACTGATATTAATTTGTTTAAGAAAACCAAAGCCAAAGGGTTTGACAACTTTGAGACCGAAATAAACACAGTTTCGTATAATTCAAATTCAGTTGAGGCGCACAGCTCTGAAGGTGAAGATCTGCCAAAACAAGACACCAAACAAACCAATACTATCACTAATTAAACGTTAAATTCATTTTAAATAAATCATTACATGATTTACCTTTGATTCCAATAAAGTGCTAATTTTAAATCAAATCAATTAATTCATTAGTTCTGAGATTCATAATTGTATTTATTTATTAACTCTACAAACTATATGCAAATAAATTACAAAATATATTTAATAAACAAAACAATTAATATAATAACGATAACAATAATGAACGCAAATGTTATTAAGCAGTACTTAAAGCGATTGATTGCTGTTAAGTACCAATGGGTTCGTTGTATTCTTCGGCGGCCACTCTTAACGTGCGTTAACGCACTTCTCATGTTGTCTTCAATACGGATAACAGTGTCGGCCGAACCGCGGATTTCCTCTTCCATGTGTTTAATGCACTTTTCGTTGTTAATCATCGATATCTCCAACTTCTTCAGTTCGGTCATGTCGTACGTCTCGGACGTATCGACAGTGAGTCCAACGACAGCGGTCTCCTCAGCTAAGATTGGCCTCAGTCTGGGTTCAATGGATTGGTGCCAGTATTTAG